ATAGTATGTATTTAGTAATAATTAACATGATACGTTAGACAAGGGGTTAACGCAAACTATAACCACTGTTATATATAAGTTCTTAGTATGTTCAGAGACCGTCTAGATTTAAGGAGAATATCCAAGTATTCAAGCGTCCGTTCTAAGAGCCAATATATCAACAGAAGTGGTCAGAGCGGAGGTCGTAGCCCTTGGGGTGCCCTTGGTGTAACCGCAAAACTGAGAGAGCACTATCGCGCTTGCACAGTAAAGATACGATTTTTAATTTAGAATACTCTGAACGAAACATTAGTTCGTGTCGCTTGATTTTGATTGGTGAAGAGTGTTTAGAATCGCATTCAAGTCTTGACCTTGAAGAGCCTTTTCAAAGATGTCTTGTAATGGTTCGTTCTTCAAGTCTAACATTATCATGTTGGTAACGTTTTAGTCCTTGAATTATCAAAACCGCTACAAAATTTTTAAAAATAAAATGTTTATAAAAATGGCCGCCCAATACAACTTTAATCAGTGTATTTCCAGTGTTTTAACCTAAACTCTTTTGTCTCTTTCCGTAAAATATACGCCATAATAAAAAGAGGACAGTACTTTATGGTAGAGTGTTATTAGAACGATTTAGTTTCTATAAATACGAGGCTAAAGAAGGAGAAGAGGTCGCCCAAAAAAAAGGTGGATAGAAGAAATAGAAGCGGTAGGAAACGAATGGAGAAAGAGAGCCATAGACAGAGTCAGTTGGAAAAAGCTGGAGGAGGCCTTTACCCGTGAAGGGGTTCCGATCGACGGTACTGAAGGAAGCTAGAATATAGAATAACAAGCAAAAGAAAAAAAAATGTTTAAAAAATTTAAAATAATCTAAGCTGTGTATAATAATTAGTTTTTTGTCATGATTGGAAATAAAACGGGCTTTATTAGGCGAGGCTAGGAACGTACAGATCCCATATCTAACCTTAACCATAACGAACAAAGATTTACAATACACACAAAGCATTACATATCTGGAGAATATACTCAACTCCAAATAGAAACAATATAGTATTAACTACATTCGGCCGCTCGTTGTCCCCGATTCCCTGCAGGCGTCACCTGTCCAATAAAACGTTGACAATTAACTTAATTTATTGTCCAACTGATGGAGACTGACCGTAATTCCTTCGGGCCAATATTCTATTTACTCGACACTAAATTAAAACACAATGTACATATGAATTTCTAATGTTATAGCGAGAGGTTTTTGAATTTGAAGTCCCAGACACTTGTGTCTGACACGACATAAGTGTCTGCGTCGTCACCTTGTTCATAGTTAACATAACCTTACACATTAATTTAATTTATTTACAAAAATTTAAAAATTTAAGTTTTTTAAGATTTATAATAAACTAGCTGACCGGGCAAACGTCGTTTTGCCATATATATAATTTATAATAAAAAAATAGGGGTTGATCGTAGAGGGGTGAAAGTTGAGGGTTGAAGTTAGAGGGTTTGTATGTATTTTTTAATGTTGTATCATAAAAAAATAAAAACAGAAAAAAATATCTAAAAACAAAAATAAAATATTTAGGGGTGGACTACCCTTAACATTTAGGGGGATGAAAAATAGATGTTGTCCGATTCTCAGACATACCCAATATGCACACAAAATTTCATGAGAATCGGTCGAGCCGTTTTGGAGGAGTATGGCAACGAAAACTGTGACACGAGAATTTTATATATTAGATTTAAACTTTTTCTGGGATTAAAGTTTATATTAATATTATTGATGTGTTGTATATTAAATTGTAACATTTTTGTGTAGTTTCTGAAGCATACTTGTTGATTCAGATCTAATAAAAAATACATAATATGGAAGATTACCGGCCTTCAGAACCTACCAAAAATTAGAAAAAACCTCTCAATTAAAGAAAGTGCTTTAAAAATATCCTTGCAGGTACTATTCCTATATGTTGAAAAGTAATATAGGAAAAGTACGCTCACATGTTAATACAGCATATGGCATAATCGTACCTAAAATCGCTAAGTTACTAATTAAAATTGTATCTTAAAATTAATCATACAACATATTATGAAAACATATATTAACATTTATTTCCGAACCAATTCGACTTAGGGTCCTTCAAGAAAAGAGCGTGCAAATTCTTAAAAGGCCGGCAACGCACTCGCGAGCCTCCTGGCATTGAGTGTCCATGGTCGGCGGTATCACTGAACATCAGGTGAGCCTCCTGCCCGTTTGCCCCCTGTTCTATATTAAAAAAAACATCGTAAAGAATTGAAGTTTGTTCATTACCGTTGTCCTAGAACCAAAATAAAAAGAGAATTACGATTCCCGAGCAAAAAAAATAAATCAAAGTGCGAAATATTTACTTTTTAACTTCAAAGGAGATTACTTAATTATAACTTTGTGGAACTTGGGAACGAATGCAAATGTACAAGTTGAGTGAGTTTTATTAACAAACGCGTCTAAAGATGAAAAGTTGCTAGTATTCGTGCCCAAGAGATTTGCGTGTGTTACATCTCAAAATGACAAACCAGCTCAAGAAATCCCGCGACACGAAACGAATTTTAATTTTTATGGTTCCTTTCGCACAAAGGAATATATTAGACCCTGAATTGCGAGCATACGTGGGGTTGCCTACCCACTTCCCATCTCGTGTGCTTTGTGGTTTCCTTCTATGGACGTCCGTAGGTTTATTACGAAAGCGACTGGCGCACAATATGCCTAGTTTCGCTTTATTCGTATACTATACTACAACAAAATAAAATCGACTTCTATATTTAGAAAAATATATGTTCATTTCAATACAATATATCTTTTTATGTTAGATTAACATTTTCATTATAATTTGTGGAAGCTGACATAGGTAGGCCATTCCATACCTCCACTTATGATTAAAGGTTTCGCTTCATCTTTTACTCGGTGTCGGTATTGTAAAGCAATCAATAGAAGGGTTATGATTCGATTTGTCAACAAGGGTTGATATTAAATTAAATTTTACGTGAAATGGTAGGTTCCAGCTCGGAACTAATGTTAATATCAATACCGTATAATGCGATAACTATACAAATAGTAACCGACTTCGTGAGCCTGATATACAAAAAAATTGTCCTCAGATTTCTGAATCTGTTTCATGATCATTTTTAGATCTTGGGTCGTCGACTTTTTGGATCTAAGACATGTCGCTTTCCTCACGATGTTTTCCTTCACCGTTCGAGCAAATGTTAATTGCGCACATAGAAAGAAAGTCCATTGTTGCACAACCGGGGATCGAACCTACGACCTACGAACCTCGAACTACTATACATACAATGGAAATATATAGATATATGCCAAATCAAAAATATATATAATCTCTTATTATAACTCGGTGTGTTAATTAAAATTTACTTACAAAGCTTATTAGCCGCGTAAACCTTAATCGGATAAGCGATAAAGTTTAAATTAACTTGTACGGTTGAGCTTCGGGCCTTTCATAGCATAGTTTACAAACAATCAGACGTAGGTACCTACGTTTGCTAACATTGCATACAAATTGAGGGATGGGAAATTAGTATCGGTACTGTATACCTCGAAACTAGAGTTAAAATAGTACTCTGTAACAAAACTATATTCATAAAGATCAAATTCACAGCGAAAATAACTAAGCAGGGACAGACGAAATCCATTTAGACTGATGGCTGGCTAGTGTCTATTGTTCTATTTCTCTAGCAATACGTATTAATTATCTCATATATTCCATTATTGGGTAACTCTCCAGTGTAATAGGAGTTGTAGGCAAACATTTTTGTATGCTTAAATAATTATTTAATACAAATAAAAATTATGTGCAAATTATAACGGGCTTGTGCCCGTCCTGGGATCGAGTTTCGGTGAAACAATGAGTGCTTTATAGGCACAGAAGGCTCTCCTTTACACGATTACAACAACTCTTATTATGAAAAATTTAATAAAATAATAAAGTTGGTAAAATACTAATCCTGAAATATCCTTATTCTTCGAAGACAATGTCGAACAGTTTGAAGAACTAATAAAAAGTTTAATTCTTAATTCTGCATATATTACTTATTGATACAATTTCGGACCTTTTTTCTAGATTTTGTATATTAGAATCAAACCTAACGAAGACTGCTAATTGAGCATGCTTCAAAAGGATGAATATTATCATTTGAAGTATCTATTTGTATACAAAAGTCACAAATCATGACTATTAGCGAAATACAGTGAGAAACGCTCGTCAAAAGAATTTTTAATAGCAAAAGCCCCAAATGCGTTCACGCGTATGACGCGATTACGCCAACAAATTGACCGAATTATCCCCCTCTAATCTTTTAGTTTTGACCTTACACTGTATATTTTATCGCTATTAAATATATATATATATTCAAAGGCTATTATAGCTTAGTTGGTAGCTCAAACAGAATCGGTTTGATTCCACGCGAAACAATAATTGTATCGAGTTGAATACATATTTGCAAGTTAGACCAGTTATTAAGAGTGTACCGAATACCGATGTATATCTTGCTCTTAAAGATAACGTAAGAGACTGTCAAAATACCTTTCTGAAAGACGCAAAATACACAACGCATGTCGGAAAAAGAAGACTTTTCACCTACTTGTGAAACAAATACTGTGTCTGAGGCGCAAAGTAACTGTTGTGGTCTCTGGAAGAATGAAAAGATACCTTTTTTCTTTCTTTTTTTTAATAAAAAATACTATTATTATTATTTTGTGTGTTCCTGTGTGTTTCGTTAGTAATAAATGTTATGTCTTTAAATACGATTTGATAAATTTGAAATATTGGTTGGGTAAAAGCTTCTTCGGATTTTATAAGAAAACTCAATTTTTTTCAGTTTATTTTATTTTACAGTAGTGATAGATGTTATGTGCAAAAATACTTCTATACATTGAAGAGTTACCAAAAAATCAAAAATATTGAGAGACTAAAACATCATCTAGGTAATAATTATCTATTAACCAAAAATTTCCGAAGATGTTTAAACAAATTGAATAATTATTCCTCAAAAAAATAATATCTAACATGCTTAGTGCATGGATCGAAATATTCGTTATGCGGTAAGTCGAGAGCCGACAATGCCGCTCCAAAATAATGCTTGGTGAAATGCAACGCGTCGTGAGGGCGTAGCAATAGTAATGTCTGAAGATAGTCTCGAATGGTGCCAGCCAGTTCGCCGTTCTCAGTCACGTACCGGCCGCCTTCTGATGAGCGGGAACTCTGCGAAATTAGTACCCATGGGATAAGTTGCCTCCTATATTTTACTAATAACGTATTACAGAATTAATTCCCATTTACGGGTTTATTTACGGGTTCGTATCGATGTGGCTTTGTACATGTATAAGAAATTATAAATAAAACTTAAATCAATGTTTTTGTTTACATAAATGTGTAACTAAATGGGTTATTAGACACAATTATTAGTCTATATTTTTTAAGTTTTTTATCCTCTGCCGTGCCTTTCTGTTAGCAATTGTTTATTATTAAGGAGGCGGGAACTAAACCACTACTTTTTTTTATTAAAAGTCAGAAAGTAAAACTACTAGATAAATAATAAAAAAAATCAGTGACCTTTTTAGGTCTGGGCCTCAGATTTCTGTATCTGTTTCATGATCATTTGTCATCTAAACGGCAAGCCGGTTTCCTCACGATGTTTTCCTTCACGAGGGATATAAATAAAACGTACGTGGTTTTTTTTTCAGTTAACTAAAGTTTAAATAGTATAAAAGCAAAACCTTAAAGTCCAGATAATCCGAGAATAACTGTAGGTCCTCTCTCCATTTTTCCCGCGTTGGGGCATGGGGCTCTATTTCATCCTTTTCAGGGACGACACGTAGTAATGGGTTTAAGTGGATTATGTAATTATTGTCAGCCCACTCGTGGCTAACAAGGTAACCTACAAAATGAAGACATTTTAAACTTCAGTAACGGGTATTAACTTTATATCTCTTTAAGGATAAAGTTGAAGAAATTTTTGAATTTCCTTAACTTCATATGTCAAAAATGATTTTGACATGCGAAGTTACGCGCTAATTCTCGTCTTTGAATATTACCGTAGTTTTTTTTATATAATAGGGGGGCAAACGAGCTTGCGGGACGACCAAAAAGGGCAGTCTTCGCAGCCCATAGAGACCCATTTTTAGTGGGTGCGTTGCCGGCCTTTGAGGGAGGAGTACACTCGAGTTATGTAGTATTTTCTAAATTGAAATTTTTTCAACATGCAATTGAAACATACTTGAATTAAAGAGACCACAAGTCAACCGTGCGTAAATTTTATGACCCTGATGATAAACTTTTATGCGCGCCATCTAGGCAGAGTTACAAGGAACTAGCAACAAACTAAGATGTTCCGTATTGCAGCGCGACTTTGGGGCATACATATTTTATATATTTATATACATAATATCATACAGCTTTTGCGTATTTAAGAAACAGTAGGCCTCGTGTTTAATTATAATAGCCATTTATTCAGTTTCCTAGTATAAAAATCCAGTGGCGCTAAACCTTTCTCAGATTTATGTGTCTGTTTCGTAATCATTTGTTTTCTAATAAGCAAGTATCATTCTTCCGCCTTTCACACATCGTCGATTTTTTGGGTTCGAACCTAAGATCTCAGGGATAAGAGTTGAACACTGATCTAGGCCAGCACTTCGCTTTCTATATGTGATACATATCGAATTTGTACCAAATATACCTTTAAGAGTAAGAACAATCAGTGTCTGATGAATAAATCCCGATGGTTCTATTATATGCCGTTCCACTTTGACCACAAACAACGGTTTTCCATTAACAATAGCTTGACTGGTACCTGGACATACCTGAAATACACCTTTCTCTATATTCTGCAGTTTTAGTCTGATGCACAAGAGATCCAGGGGAATATGGAAATGACCCCTACGACCTTGACCGTGCATCGCATTATCACAATTTTAGTGATGCTTAATGAAAATTGACAGAACATTAAAAACTCTTGCGCGTTATAACAGTCTTACTCGTAAAAATGTTAAGCCGGGTCCACATTTGTAGCATATTGACGTATCACGATCAGTCGTATCGTATCTAGTATCTGTATCATAAATATGGACGCTCATTTTGTCCATGTCGTATATTTAAGGCGTATCTTGTAAAAAACGCGTCCATACTTATCAAATGCTGTATCATGTCAGTGTATCGGCTTTAACTTTACAAATATAGACGCTTCACTTTTCTTCCGATGTATCATGATGCGCGTGTCTTTCAGTGCACCTTTCCCTTCTCGCAATGTTCAGTCATGTCTTCGTTCCCAAACGGTTTAACCATGTCAGCAATTGCTCACAGTTTGGCGGTGACTAGCGCCTGTTATATTATCATTAATAGTATTTAAAAAAAAGTTAAATCTAGACGTAGACGGCGCTGGAAGTGTTTAGAAACCGAAACAAACATGGTGGAATACCATTGATGCGAGATTTAAAATTTCAGTATACCAGCGGAAAATACAAAAATTTCACTCGCATGTCACCCATTGATGTTGTGTATTCCCTTTGATGATCGCGAAAAAACCGACACAGGATGGTTCGCGGTGTATCAAGTATCGTATCGCGATACAGTATCGTGATACAGTATCAAAATACGTCCATACCACCGATCGTGATACGCGTATCGGATACGAGGTGTATCAAGATACGCGCTTAGTGCGGATCGGGCCGTATCCGATACGGCATGTATCATAAACGGGTATCATTTTGCGTCCAAACTAACGATCATGATACGCGCCGAAGCCACGCAACGGAGATACGATACACCGAAATGCTACAAATGTGGACCCGGCTTTAACTGACTGTATGACCGATCATTACATATGATCTTTTATAATTAAGTATACGAATTTTCACGCCTTTGATTGTATAAATAAAAAAAATATAAAAAACCCACCAAAGGTAAATTTAATATATCCTAATCCCGATGCTGTTATTTAGTTTGATTTCTTATTAGAGTGTTTGTTATCGACATAATATGTGTTTGTGTATTATTTAGGTATGGTCATAGGGACTGGTGCGACGCCATTTTGTCTAGAGAAGCGTTTTGGCGGGTTTTTTGAAATCATGAATGATTTTGTAAAGCCAATACTTTGTATAGGTACTCACGATTTGAATAAATTTTACAGTCACTAATAAATACTCTGAAATGGTTTTTGAAACTTAAACGTAAACGTTATAGAGCTCTAAAAAGTCAATTTAAAAAAAATCGTTATTAAGCGGCTATCTGTACCTAATCCGCATAGTTAAGTGAATAAGTATTTTTAAAAAGAAATTTAAAGTTTAGTATTATTATTGTATTTTTAATTTTCTGTAAAATTTATGTTCACCGTAATTGCATGTATTTTAGACATAAATATATTGTATTTTATACTATAGAAATGCTTTATTATTGGTGTGTACTTTAATAAATAAGTAAACCCTATAATTGCTGTACAAACCACCAACAAATGTGATTAAAGAAAATATTTCAACGATACATTAAGGACTTATTTAAATATTCCCTGTAATCGTTATATTAGTCTATTCTCAGTATATCTGTCAAATATAACTTACATATAAACTTTCGCATATAACACCATCAATGAGTACAGTATCAGTCTTTATCGTGCCCTTGTGTCGGCTGATTCCCAAATATCGCAGCAGAACAATATTAGCCCCTTCAAGTAAAAAATTGCGGGCATCTTCAAACGAATGGTAAATGCGCCTTACAAAATGGCGCTCCCCACAAATACGGGTCACTTTATTGTAATAGCCGCTCTCACAAATTGTCATATAACTCCGACGCTCCTTCGTTGCGTCTTTCTTTGTAATTTGTCTGAAATGGATCATCTATATTATTTCAATGTTTCAGGATCACCTGCCAAGACTATTTGCTGTGTAATTGAATTTCACAGGAGGAATGGAACAAGGAATAAAATAAAATAACTCAGTGACAGTTGAACCCTTTGTTGCGTAAGATTTCTGAATCTGTTGCAATGATATTTTATAATGTATTAATTTTATTTATTTATTTATTTATTCATAAGAATACACATCCTTACAGTACTAAAACAATACGATAATGTCGAAAAAGATATATTAAATAAAATTTAATATTAAATACAAAAGACACAATATCGCTACTGTGAACTCACTCTGCGAACATAATATTATAAAGATGTCGAAAATGCCGGAGACAGAGAATTCAGTAGACGCCACGCATTATAACGGGGATATGTGTAACAAACTGGTTCTGGCCCTTGGTATCGCAAGCAACTTTGACCTTCACCGTTGCACATATCCCCTTAGTACAAAGAAACGTGTCTTGCAATACGTGTCTTGCAATAAATATAATTTAAATGAGAACTCTATTTAAAGAGCCTGCCAGTTTCCAAAACTATCATAAGCAACAAAATAAAATGAAAAAAACAATCCTTAAATAATTGAAATTTATTCTTCTACAAGCAATCAACAAGCGTTAATTGCCCATAAGAAAACTCCATTTATGCACAGCTGGAATTTAAACGCACGCCCACGTGTAGAAGTCAAACCCCTAAAAACTTTGCTAACTTGCTTCAAAATATATTTAGTTGTTTTGAATTAATTAGGTTTAAAGACATTTATTCTCATAACAGACAATAGTCACTTACAAGAGAACTTATATACTAAGACTATACTACTACTTAGATACAATTTATCACGTCGTGGGTCATTGAAGAGCTTCAAGGATGAATTAGCGAAGTCGAACTTGGGATGGTCACGCAAGTGATGGTCTTTTATTCTTAATTTAAATATTGCCAGGCTGTCTGCAATTTTTATATTTTGTGGAAGTCTATTATACCGCAGCATTCCCCCAACGCTCAATGTTTTTTTACCGTACTTGGTTTAATACTTAGGTTGAATTAGATTGGGAGGGTGTCGTGAACTGCGCTTCTAAATTTGATTTATATTAGTGAAAGTAATGTTAATGTGTATATAGTCAAAGTCAGTAGATAATTTCATTTCATTATTTTTGATTATAAGTATGAATTAATGGAATGTAGGCGGTGTAATTTTCCAGGCATTAAGGTTCTATGGTCGTCCTTAGTGGTATACACGAAAAAAACCAAGGAAATATATTTTTGAAAAAATACCTATGCACCACTATGTATACAAAAAATTGTTACGCCATGGCTATCATACTATTTAATCACCTTCATAGTTATAGATCACTGCAGTGAAATGCTTTCAAGGGGAAGGGGATTAAATTTTTAAAGGCTCCTTTATAAAAACGAATGTGCCTTTAGAACGTGGGAGAGCATTTAGATCGTAAGTTTTGACAACAATTATAAATAATTTAACTGTTCTTTTATTATTACATCATGATAATATGACATCTGCAAGCCTGTTTTCATATGGCTGATTGTGCGGGTTTTTTTTTAATGAATCAATCTGAATTTACGACTTTCTTTTCAAATAAACGATTTATTTATTTTGTTAAAAAAATGATGAATCTATCCTATTAGACAAATATTGACTTAATTGACCTTAATCATATGGTCAAATAAATTACGAATGAGAAAGCAACATTTGTTCTAATCAAAATAAAGAAGATTTAGTGGATAATTTATAAAATGTATATGAAAATTGGTGACACGGACGTAAACATATTATTTCACAACTTACTCGCTCCTACTTTCCTCCATTGTATGTAAATTGCAATCTAAAATACTGACAAGCTTTGACCCAGTTTTAGCTCCGTCTTTTGATGAATGAGAAACAACTTGAACCAAAAATTTCGCCTCATCCTCACCCAAAGTTTCCACACTAATACTTATTCCTGAAAAACAAAACGTGGTACCATATATTCTTCATAGTGACTACTTATAGAACAGGGACCAAATCGTCGGAAGGTTTGTCCGATGTTAAGTGATGTTTATAAGGAAATCTCTTCTTACCCTAGGACGTATTGGTTCGGAAATACATTGATTTGAGATGAGATACTTACCCCCAACAGCACTGCAGCAATCCAAAGATGGCTTACGTATTTTTTTTACATACGCGGGTGCTTTAATTTCATGAACAGGACATGGTCCAGCCGCATCATCAACTTTTTCTTCGTGAAGACCTAAAATCTTAATTTTCTCTCTTTCTTCCTCCTTGTACGAAATTTTATCATGTCTCCCATATCCATAATCAAAATATGTATGTTTGGGATCGACGTCGTGACACCAACGGTAGCCATGCTTACCGGCCCTTGTTCTTTTTAACTTCCTTTGAACTGGCTTTTTGCGTGGACACGTACAAATAAGACCCCCCGCCTTAATCGTTTTATTATCTGGGCACGTACATATCCCTTCCTCTTTAGGTGGTGCAGTGTCACAAAGGCAAGGATCGGTGCATTCACAACTTTTAAAACATTTACAATTTTTTGGATCTCCACAAGTGCAAATTTGTGGTTTTGGAAAGCACTTGCACTTTTCAGGGGATTCCGCAAAACAAGTGCATTGTGGAACTACAGAACAACTGCAGATAGATTTATTATCGTCATCCTTACAGGGTGGTTCTTCTTCTTCAACTTTCTCGCAGACGCAAGTAGGTTGCACTCCACATATACATACATCTTGCTCACATATGCATTCCCTGCCTTTCTTGCAAAAACATATCGGTTTCACCACTTTTTCTGGCTTCTGACAGATACATGGTTCCTTTTCAGTTTCTTCTGGTATTTGTATAAAAGTTTTAACTTCTTCTTCAGCTAGGTCCTCGCCATACTCTTCGCCCTTTTCTTCATGATTTTCCATAGAAAGATAGTGGGGTTTGTGTTTACATGTACATACAGGACATGGGAACATGCCTGGTTTGCAAATACAAGGCTTATCAACTTGTGCACAGGTGCAAAAAGGTCTTGGTTTAGAATCAGGATGACATACACAAACGTTACTTGGTTTACATGTGCATACCGGTTGTGGTTTGCCATCGTCGCATATGCAGATATTCTCTAAATGCTGACATTTACACTCCGCTTTAGTTTTTGCTCCACATCTACATGGTACTTTAGTATGGCAGGGGCATGTTCCTTGCTTATCTATGTCACAGGAACAAAACTCTTTATTTAACACAGCTGGGTTTACTTTTGGCAAACCATTCTCAATAATTATACTAGTTACGCTATCTTGTTCCGGGAGTGGCTTTGAGCAATCAGGAAAGAAAAAAAAATGAAAATCTTTTTCAGTCTCATCTGGCTCTTTTTCAGCTGGTGATTCTGTCTCGACTTCTTTTCGTTCTCTAATGAAACTGGATGGCTTGACCACGGTTAAGTCGCTGTCTGAGGACTCTTCACATGTCCATTCGGAAGCAGAAGCCTCATCCCGAACGTCACCTTCGCAATGTCCACAACTGATTACTAACGTTTCAGTGAAACATAATTGTTTCTTTGTTGCGTCATCTGAAACAGAATTGTAGTAGAGAGTAATCATTGGTTCATTCTGAACTAAAATTACCTTTGATTTTTCTGAAGTAGTTTCGATGTTATATGATTTATTATTTTTATAGATATTTTTGGAATCAATATAATTTTATTGTAAATTTGTAATAGAAAAAAAACTTTTAACAAAACTCACCGATTTCAAAAAATAATTGTTTTGACAAATCTAGTAAAGAAATATGAGAATTGGTCATTTTTATTATTTTACATTTTAACGAGTAAAATATTTTATAAAATATGTTGTCTTTAGTTTATTTCTTTAGCCAATTGTCATTTTTATATTTTTTTGAACTAACCAGCATTTTAAATTATATACAAAAATGATTACTTCATTGTCACAATAATTTAATTCGAAACACAAATATACAGTATTTAGAATATTATTATCCTATATAATATAGTAATAATAATAAAATAGTTAATAGAAAATTAAAACAAATTTAAATAGTTTGGTCCCTGTGGCAGTGTGTACTTTTAACGCTGACAGCATTTTTTCGCAGTATTGCGATACTTATTCGTTGTGCGAGGAAAGTACCAGCTGAGGGATCACCAGGCTCCAACTTAAATCATTTATTAGCGCATGTGCACTTGAACCCACGGCTCAAGAGTCTACTCCAAAGTGAACAAAATCGGAGTTGAAGGGAAGACTCCTATATTTGAGCTGTTTATCATTTTTCCGCCTGCTCTACCTGCACCTACCGCGCCATCTTTTTTTACTTGACCAAGGGAGGTGAGACGGGGCTAAAGTGTCACACATAAGTAGCTTCCCATAGCAAGCCTGTCCCACCCTTGAAGGGATCAATAATTTATTTGTGTGTTGGAATTAAAAATAAATTATGTATCAAATAAATCTATAACATAGAACCTACAACTTTTAAATAAATTTAGTCGAAACTGAAAAAAATACCAAAGGATCAAAATATAATAATTAATTAGAGGCGGGAATTTTTGAATAATTAAAAAGCTAGACGCTAAGTAGCAATTTCATAGATCACCTCATCAAAATTTCACAACTTAACCACAACCTGAACTGAACTGAACTGGGGTCTTAGTCAAGATACCATAACAGTAGTGTATGTAGAAAGTCGAAAACTATAATTGTATGTTAATTTGTCGAAACATTGTAAGCTAAGACTAAGCCCCCTGACGTCGTTACAATGTTGCGTCTGTATCAGTAGTTAGTTCATAGTTATCAGCTGTTGTAACGTCGTATGAACTATGAAGTTAAAACTGACAGATGTTACATGTGATCTATTTCATTGGCCCTACTATAGTTTGTAATTTTTGTGATGTTATGTATAATATCTACTCGCGGCGGTACCATTTATGTACTATGCAGACTTGTTAATAGTCAAACGTATCTCGTCGCATCAATTAACTAATTAAGTATCTTTCACATTCAGTTAAATATACAGTACACGACGCTAAGCTGCCAGTTGAATATTGAAACTTCACTTAAGTCACTTAGAAGTAGAAAATTTGATTTTGACAGACGATACTTCTAGATTTGACAGATGATGTGGCCTAACGACTTGTTCTCATAATTTTTTGGAATTTAAATTAATATTTATTTCTACATAACTTATAATACCATGTCAAGATGATTGTGATAAAGACTATTATTTTTTCTGTGTTAATTACAGTTTGCTATAGTAGGTTGCCCGACAAAGTGCTATGTGCAAATCAAGAATGTAATGGTAAGTTAGGACTAATTTTAGTTTTTTCCATATTCCATGCTTTATTCATACCTATTTATTATTTTATTGCAATTTCTTGTAGTTTCTGTGTACCTTTATTGTATCCATACCAATATTTTTTTTTTACTTTTTACAGCACCAATATCCAAAGCCAAAACTCTTCTTAGTTATAGCAGTCCACAATCTGATCTCTTATCATTCAAAGGCAACTCAGAAGCAATAATATTTAAGAAATCAGCTGGAGGAAATTCAGATTTATGGTATGCCACTATTAATGGGAAGTCTGGTTTTGTAAATACTAGATTTTTAAGGGAGATTAAAGTTTACACAAAGAATTTAGTAGAGATGCCCATTGATGTAAAACCTATAGTTAAACCTGATAAAGTACAACAACCCCATGAAGTATTTGAAGGAACAACAATATACTCACCAGAGCCTACTCCACCAGCTGATGCATCTAAAATATCAACAGAACAAATATCTCAAATTAGTGAAAACATCCCTGAATCTATTCGCAACATTAACTTAGAAAGTATGTTAAAAGAAGCTGATCCTGAATCCTCCCTATTAGAGACAGATATAGATTTAGTTAATGATATGAGCAAAGAAATTACAAGTGAGGAAGAAACACCAAATGATTCTTTAGAAAAAGTAGATGAAAGTAGTGGCACTGAAGTCCATTTCGACAGTAAGCAAGACACACTTGAGTCAATAAGTTTAGTGTCTGAAGAAGTTTCTGGAACTACAGAAAGTGTTATTAAGTCACATGAAACATTTGAATCTATTTCAAATCCTCCTCCACTGGAACAAACGACTAGTGTCAAAGATGAACCTCTGCTTGTCACTGAAACAGTACCAAGTATTAGTGAACAGAATGCAAACCTTGTATCTAGTACAGATAAAAGTGTAAAAAATGAACCTCTGGTTGTCACTAAGACAGAACCAAATATTAGTGAACAGAATGCATACCTTGTATCTAGTACAGATAAAAGTGTAAAAAATGAACCTCTGGTTGTCACTAAGACAGAACCAAATATTAGTGAACAGAATGCATACTTTGTATCTAGTACAGATAAAAGTGTCAAAGGTGAACCTCTGCTTGTCACCAAAACAGAACCAAATATTAGTGAACAGAATGCATACCTTGTAACTAGTACAGATAAAAGTGTCAAAGAGGAACCTCTGCTTGTCACCGAAATAGAACCAAATATTAGTGAACAGAATGCAAATCTTGTATCTAGTACAGATAAAAGACATGAAATTTTACAAGAAGTATCAAGTGAGAGCCTGTCTGTTCAAGAAAATTTGCCATCTATTGATGATAATTTAATTCAACAAAATGGCTCTAATACACCAAAAAGTGAGATTGCAACAGAAAATGATGGTACAAGCACAATAAAAGATCACACGAGTATTGATAATGAAAGAGCGCAAACCATAGAGCTTGATAAGTTTTCAGAAAGCAGCACTATTTCTCCAAACAGTGACGTAACAACTATATCACCAGAATCAGGGACAACTGTAGAGCCAACAATACCAGCTATAGAAACTGAATATACTACTGATACTATGTTACATGAGTCTAAACCTCAAACAATACCTGCCGCTGATATGAACTTACTCCTACAGGAATTGCAAAATATGGATAAAACTACACTTAAAGTACCATATGTATATGCAACATCTGAAGCAGCTATTAAAAAAGAAGATGTTGTAGCAGAATCTGTTGCTGAAGATAGATTGCTTGAAATTAATACTGTATCAACAACCACAGAGCAATCACTAATAGAAACTAAATCTAACAGTCAGCAATCAAGCGAATTAAATACAGATTCTACAAGTTCAGATGACGTTTTGGCAACAACTGAGACACCTGTGACAGAAACATACATAAGCAGCACAACAGAGGGTTTAATTGAAGAAATATTTACCTCTACAACAGAATCACCACCAGTTGAAAGTGAAAATGAAGGGATCTTTTCTAATATATATTCAACTATCGCCGATATCTTACCACCGTCTACGGAGGCCCCTCCTGAAGAAATATTTAATCCTGATCTTGTTGAGGCACCAGATAGCGAATCAAGCTTTACCTTGACATCATATCTTTTTAATATGTTAAACTCAGTTATTGGAAGTAAGGAACAAAGTAATGAATTGTATCCTTCAACTGGTAAGTTACAGTTTAAATGTTTAATGTTTTATAAAAGATCATTTGGCTTAATGTTAATTTTTGTTTCCATAATTGGTTGTTGCTTAACTTGGCTGTTAGATGATTCTTTTTACAATGTGTATTTCATACATCTATTTTTATTACAAATAGTTCTTAACTTTATTTATTATTTGTAGGTGACACCTGTTTCTCTGAAGAATATTGCGATGGTGAAGCACATGGTCAGCGCAATAGATTTATAACATTCATTCTTACTACAGCCACATCTGTACTTCTTTTCACTTTGGGATATTACTACATTGATAATAAACGGCAAGACAGCAAATTTATCGGTACTATAAACAAACTACAGAGAGAATTGCTTTTTGCTACCAAGGTACCTATACAGCTTTGATTTTTAAATTCAAATAAAAAATATACCAATATTACTGTTTTGTATAATACATAACAGTACTATGAGGGAAGGAAGCTGCAATGATGTGGAGTGAAGTTAAAAGAGCTATCCAAGACTGAACAGGCTGATTTTTTATGCTGGTTTCCCTTTGCCCCACCTGGAGAGCTTGGGACCTATATAAATATATAGGTCCTATATATTATATAAAAACAAACATACAGAAAAACTAAGTAATTTTTACCAATAATAAGTATATTGACTTATCAAAAGCACTTGAGAAAACATACTTGTTCCATATCTATTTACATATATTGTTTGTAATATTCATGATAAGGATACCCAAGAAAATAATGTGACAACTACAATTCTCTACTATTTCTCTACATCTAGTAATAGGGTTAGCTTACTAATTATTTTATTAGTAAGTTAACCCAAGTAGTTTATCAGGAAACAAAATGCTAGTTTAGCGCAGGTTTATCTATAGCATTAACATTTATGCTGTTTTAAGAAATGTTAAAATTTACTTAAATTTAACATGATTTTAACCTCAACAAATTATAATAGTATAAGAATAACTTGTGTATATACTAATGTAACTTAATAGTCAACTAAAATATCTAATTAGACTAGTAGGTGATTTGATTTCTGGGCCTTTCGGTCTAAACTAAAATGTTTAGCAACAAAACCTTTGGGGATGGTCGATTCAAAAGCCATTGGATAAATGTGTGGGTTGAAAATGTATGTGATATTTATTGATATTATATTTATCAGGAGTGTGAGATCCTTAAAGAGGAGCTTGGCACTACAAAAAACAAATTAAACTCGATCGAAGACAGTTCTTTTGGGAAAGACGACATGGTGCAATCATTAAAAGAAGAAATTGATGAGATGAAAGCACAAAACGATAGACTTAGAAAATCTTTAGATGATAATGAGAAGTTGTTGAGGGTGTCTGAAAATACAGCTGGCGAGCTGCAGAATACTTTAAGTGAAGTAGAGAACACTCTGAGTGAGCTGTGGGGAGAGAGAGCACAGTCTGAGGAGCAAATTGCTGAATTGAATGGTGAGTAATTTTTATTAAGACTTACTTTAACAGGAGTTAAAAAAATATTTTAAATACAAATATACCAATAGCCATATAATAATTTAAAGCGCGGGGAGATTAGAAAGTTGAAAAAATAATTATTTAACAGTGTGTATCTATTTTATCCAGAAGGTATTTGTATCTTAAAAAAAATCTCCACAAATGTTGGAAGCCAATAAATTTCAGAGAAAAGCGGCAAAGGTAAACTTTTTATGTGAGTCTGAAAGAACATCACGTAAAGAGCAATTTACCATTAGATATTATTTATTTATTATTTTAATTGATTTAAATTTGTGCTACAATCGTTATTTATTTACAATACATTTACAGTTACACGATAATGTAAATTAAAAAACGTAAGCAGTTATGTTGAATATTTTTTTTTTTTTTTCATTAAATTTCTTAATTTTCCAGAGAGAATACAGGTATTTGAAGAGGAGCTAATATCTGTGACTCGGGATAGAGACAATTATCAACTTAAGTTTGCCTCAGCCGAGAGTGCGTTAGACGACTACAAGAAGCAAAAGAAACTTCTAGAAGATATCAATCATCAACTCATTGAAGCAAATAATACAATTGAATTGCAGAAACATGAAATTGTTGCTTTGAAGGTATACCTATCGTAATAAATATTTTTTAATCCGATTCTTAATTTGGTCATGTATCTAATAAATGTAGAGCAGTATTGGCCCAGTGCCTTCAGCGTTTGAAACTCATCCCTGAGGTCGTAGGTTCGATTCCCGGCTGTGCACCGATGGACTTTCTGTCGATGTGCGCATTTTAATATTCGCTCGAATGGTGAAGGAAAACATCGTGAGGAAACCGGCTTGCCTTAGACCAAAAAGTCGACGGCGTGTCTCAGGCACAGGAGCCTGATCACCTACTTGCCTATTAGATTGTCAAATGATGATGAAATAGATACGGAAATTTGAGGCCCAGACCTAATAAGGTTGTAAGGCTACTCATTTATTCTTTATTTTATCTAATAAATGTACTAAATGTCATAAATATGACCGATATTTTAACTAAAAGAAAAGCATTTTTAAATATGACTTGATAAAATCATAAAAAATGAAAATATTACGAAATATGTAGTAGGGGCTGTTTATTTGTTAATGTCAATTATTTTTTTCTACTATTGAAAAAAGTGTGCGCTAGTTTAAATATATTTGTCAGATTCTCTGTTAACACTTCTAAAACAATTAAAAAATATATTGATTCTGTTTTGTTTTTTTTAAAAACCACAAAGTACAAAAAAACTACCACATGAAGCGTTAAATAATCCAATTAAACACTTTAATTTCAGGATGCATTAAAACAAGTGAAGGGCGGCGCTCAGTCTAACGTTGACGTGACATCTCTAATAGATCACACCGAAATCAAAGCCAAACTTTCCAAAGCACTTGAAGAAAGGGACACATACAAAACTCGATTTGAGGTAAAAATTATTTTTGCTTGCTATTGAATTTTCTTTTCCAGTTGTCTAGACTGTGTTACTTTCAGTCACATTTTGGAAGTTATACTTCTTTAGGCGCGTTATGAAAAATTGATGAGAGTGAAATTTTACGATGCGCGCGCACCGTGACACAAAATTAACAGAATGAAGTTCCCCACGGAAGATGCTACGGCATTGGACTTAATTTAAAAACAACATTCGAATAATAATAGAATTTATGTTACACTTAATGTAAGAGAATAATAATAAAAAATATTTATATAATTTTTCAAATGTACTGTAATGTAACTGAACTTTATTGACTATAATGACTCCTTTTCCAGTCTTTGTTTATTTAATTGTAATTAATTATTTGCATGCAATCAAAAACTATTTTTAATAATGCCAAAGAGGTATAACTTCTTACGCGCGTACATAAGTACACGCACCCTTTTTTTATATATAATGTGTCTCGAACAATTTGTAATGTTCTTAAATTAGTCCTTCGAACGTACAATACGTAAAAACAAATTCTTCTTCAGGTGCTACTTTACTAATGGTTGGCTGTTGACAACAATCAAAGCCGATATAGTTAATGTAATTGAATATTAAACATTGTGTAGAATACTTGATTATTGTTGATTTAGTTCTGTTAGGAATTCAAATATCTAGACTTCGAATCACATAAGAAAGATTTCAATCGATTTTTGTTTAGTTTTTTGTAAAAAAAAATTATTAATAGTTTTTTTTGTAGTTTGTTTTGATTGATATATATTTGTATGATCTCTACATCTATGTCATGTTTGCCTTTAAGTGCTTGTCTTTAAAAATTGTATTTTGTGTTTGTTTTTACCAATGTATGAGTGTGCCGAGCGTTGGCAAGCTTTTTATCAATAAAAAAAAATAAGGTCCAAAAATAACCCTAAACCCGGCAATGCTCTTCAGGATTTTAATTCTGTGTTCGTTATGTATCAAGAATTCGTTACGGAAGGAAATAAATCGGCGGCATACGAATACTTTCGATTTGTACGGTCGACTTAATAATGTTATTAGCTTCATGCTTGTTACGTACGATGCACGAAGTGTATTTATATATAGTAAAAACATAAATGGAGTTTTCTGATTTCTCAGCTAGACACGCTGCGTGAATTTCACTCGTTTTACTTAGCACATTATAACATATTTCTATTAAATTACGAACGTTGAATTTTCTATATACTAATGGCTTGTCTCAGGGATAATGTGAGATTCTAATGGTGAAATAATTTTTGAAATCGCTTCAATCGTTTTGGATTTTTTAAAGTTACAAACATGGAATTTTCCTGTATTATATTAATATAGAATTTAGCTGTTTCAACGGTCCTGCAAAAGTGCGTACCAATTAAAAAGCCGGCAACGAATTCGCCCTCCTACTAAGCGATACATAAATTTATTTACGCAGATTTACATCCGAAAACCACTCTTGGATTTAAATCTGAATAAATAAATATATGTATCGCTTAGTAGACGCAAAAATCTACACAAAAATATCAAGAAAAGCATGTCAGTGGCCTCATTGATTATGTAAATACAAAGATTGGCCCATCTTTCAGGTGGCAGAGAAAGAAAGAAGTCGTCTTGCAGATGAATTGAAGACCACACAAGACTCGATGAAGACGACAAGTCAGCAGGCTACCGAAGCTCTTACGAGACTGGATGTGCTCGGGAAGTACTTCCAAGAACGAGAGACTGAATTGATGAAGTGAGAATTTTTCTTAATTTGTTACAAATAAAATATGACGGGTATAACATGAATTAAAGTTTAGTCCCTTATAGATTTCGTTGTCATACATAAATAAAATCAAATCAAAATCTTACAACAGGCATTTTTAATTTTATATTCGATTTCGCTGTTAATTAGGGCTTGTATATGCTTGATCAATATATATCAATTTATACAGGGTGGCGCAATAGAACGTGCATTTATTAAGTATAGGCTAAAAAAATAAATACTAAAGGTATAGTTGACATAAAATATAGGATGATTAGGTAATTAAATGAAGTTTATTTTTTAAAAATAACATCATCTAAATGTAATTGTATTTATTTTTTTAGCCTATACTTAATAAATGCACGTTCTTTTGCGCCACCCGATATATTACAGTTTAACTAGCTGACCCTGCAAACGTTGTTTTGCCATATATCTACTATAATAAAAAAATAGGGGTTGATCGTAGAGGGGTGAACATTAGGGGTTGTATGTATTTTGTATGCTGTATGATAAAAAAATAAAAACAAAAAAAGTTGTCTAAAAAATGTTTTTGGGGTGGGTTATCACTTAGGGGTTTGAAAGATAGATAGTTAGCCGATCCTCAGAGTTACTGCATATGCATAAAATAATTTATAGCTATCGGTCCAGCCGATTCGGAGGATTATGGGAACGAACATTGTGACACGAGAATTTTATATTAGTTTAATATTAAGTACTTATTATTTTGATATGATAGATGACATAGGAAGTGTTTATATTATTTTAAACTTTATGTCAATATTGTCAGATATGTCAAATTCTATATATTTTAAAATTATGATTTTTTAAATAATAAATTAATATTTTAAGGGAATTGAGCACAAAGGAATCCTTATGGTTAAGCAAACAAGGGGAATCGGCCAGCACTGTGGAGAAAATTGAGTTGTTGCAACAAGAAGTTCAAAGATTTAAGTAAGTATAATTATAGTAATTTGGATTAAAAGAAATCAATTGGTTACTTATCTTCTATCAGTTTAAAGTTTAGTTTAGTTTTAGTTTAGTCATAACAAAAAAAAGTTAAAAGGCCGGCAACGCAATCGCGAGCCCTCTGGCATTGAGAGTATCCATGGGCGGCGGTATCACTAAACATCAGGTGAGCTTCCTGCCCGTTTGCCCTCTGTTCTATAAAAAAAATATATATATAATTTTATCGTCAAAGAAAACATTGCCATTGCATATTGTTAGAAGACTTCTTCGTATTATTTCGGAACATTTTGCCGCGCACCACCACTTTGTGGAAGCAGCTGCCCACTGAAGTATTTCCGAACCAATTCGACTTAGGGTCGGTTCATGGGGGTATTACTTCAGCATTAGGTTAGTCTGTTGCCTGGTTGCCCCCTGTTATATAAAAAAAACCCTCTGTATGTAATGTGTCTGTCGCAGCCAACTTGCTTAATTAGCCGTTCAATTAACAGCCTAGCCTTTCTAAACAGCGCCCTTTAACTAGCGGCCTGAAAGATATTCAGCCGTAGCGTTTGTTACAACATTTAATAAACTGGCTGGCTAATGCTTAGGCCATTCGTACGATAGTCATTATTTGGCAGAAATAAAAAAGATAAAAATATGTGATAAAAAATATTTATTTTAAAATGAAATTGCTTAAGTCAAATTCACATTATTATTGTAATTACACTCTTCCATTGTACTTGTTGTTTTTCATGAAAATTTCCAAAACATCATCAAAGTTGTGGTTTGCCGACGCCATATTAACAATTTGAACAGTTTCGTTTCAAGTTAGACAGTAGCAGAAAGTGGAATTAAATTTAAATTAACAGTCAACAGGCTTGGCAAGTAATGAAACGTCATCGAACCAAGTCATTTGCCTAGCTGTTTAATCAACTGGCTGAACATCTTTCAGGCCGCTAGTTAAACGGCTAGGCTGTTAATTGAACGGCTAATTAAGCTAGTTAGCTGTGACATGTCTGTTATATTTTTTTTATAAATAAGTAAAATATTATTAAATCCTGTATTACTTCCAGGGAGAAATGCGACACATTAACCCTGGAATTAGCCGAACAAGAGTCAGCCCGTCGCACCGCCATCAGCGAGATGGAGACTCGTGCGCACTCCGCTTGGCTCGATGCTCGTCAGGCCAAGAGAGAGGCGGATGCTGCCAAGGATGAAGCGGCGGCCCTGAGGAGGAAGCTGGCCGCCATGCATCAGGCTGACGGTGCTGCCTCTCCCAATAGAGGTAGTTTTATTATGTACTAAATATTTGTGTCATTTATTAGCAGGCTATTTGACAAAATTATGAAAACCCTTTCAGATTATTAATTGGTGCTACAGAACGTATACAAATTATTATTTTATTTCTATGATTGACTTCAGAAGTTTAAATTAAACATTAATAATTATTAAACAATCATAATTTCAAGAACTAAACGCTTTTCTAGACAAGATGGCGTCGCACCAGTTCCTATGACGTACTATGATTATAAACACGTTCACGAACGTCAACATTTTTACGTGTCAAAAATCCGCATTTATTATTTCTCGATCAAAATCAGATGAAATTAATCTCTATGACATCGATTTGATTAATCTGTGACCGTTTTGTGGAACGTGCCAGTCACGTGACTGACGGATATAAATCAATATTTTCAATCAAACACTTATTGATAGTTAAGTTAATTTACTCCATAACGCTTTATAAAGCCATTTTTTTACAAATTATTCCAAAGACGTTTTAGTCGTTGAAAATTTAATTTTATTATTTTTCGAAAAGTAAAACCTTTTTCATGCATAAACGAAAAGTTAAAACGTAATATTAGATATGTTTCGTATGGAAATCTTTTAGAAGCTTAGGAATTAGGAATTTTTGTTTAATCATCGTAATGGCGTTCAGACCACATTTTATGGTTGTTTGTTTTATTAAGGGATCGAAAGGTTTCGTACCTTATTTTCACCGAGAACCCCTCTCTCTTTAATTATGCCAATATTTATTTTGATTCCTATTAACTGCCAACCACAGATTTTATATGTACGTGTACGATAATTGTCTCCAGGGGTAGCATCTCCTCTTGAAGCAGTGGATGGTCTACCTCCAGCTCTGCCTCTAGCCTTCCTGCCGCCCCCTTTGCTGCCGCCGTTGCCACGTCCGCCGCCGCTGGGACGACTGCCTTCACCCCACGGCCCAAGGTATACCATTTTTCAGCCAGGCTATCACGTGACTTCTGATTTATATGTTTACATTTAGACTATAGAAGTTTGTTGTATGTTTTATGTCGAAATTAAGATCGCTAATGTTATTCAAAAATTATCCTATATTATAGTACAATAATGATTACTTTAAGCTTGTCTGATTATTGTATTTGATATTAGTACACGATCTCCGACGGAAACCTTCTCCAAATTCTTCCATTTGTCTCTCATCTTCCCTATTATTTGCCAATATTTCCCCGCTTACTATTCTATCTCTACTATCTCATCATCCCAGATTTCTGGGACGCTATTCAAATTATTGAAATTAAATATTCTTTAATTTATAGATACAGTGAAAGGCGATACTCGCCCGATAGGCGGTACTCACCAGAGAGCCGGTACTCACCTGCGAGTAGGTACTCACCCGAAAGCAGGTACTCACCTGAAACTGTCCGGTACTCACCATCGAGACGGTATTCACCTAGGTCTCGCCGGTCTCCATACTCGCCCCGGTCGAGGCGGCGATCGGTTGAGAGGTGAGTTGTCTTATGTATCTAAATTTATTTTATGTATTTTTTAATTGCGTAATTTTATTTATTAAAAGAAAAAATATGTATTAAATAGTTTCAATTTGAAGTTGATTAGCAAGATTATTTCATGATTACTTTAATCGTTATATTATTTTATTGCATTTTGTTTAAGACTGTACTATGCAGATAAATTCAATGTATTGATTTATGAGCATAGTACAAGAGAGTTTTTTACGCCGGCTTTTTCTCTCGGCCTACACCATCTGTCTTCTTTGCCGATGAGTAGGGATGCCTACAAATTCAAATTTAATGACGTGGAATAAGTGATACGTGTATCTTATGTTCCATAAGAAACATATTTTATTTTTAATAAAAATTAAGGAGCAAATATATTTGGTATATATTTGTTTTGTATAAACAAATGCTTAGCCCTAACAATGTATGAATTTAACCCCACTGAAAATCGAAATATTGTTTATTTTTAACCGACTTAAAAAAACCATGGTCTTACGACTAGTATGGATTTTATTGGTTTGAATGAAAATATTATTACATGGTTGTAGATACGAAAGTGGGCGTGGCTCCAGAGGTCGCAATGGTCCAGCCGACACCGAGACGGAATACAACTCGGATAGTCCCACTAGAAGACCCAGGCGACGATACACTTCGCGCTCAGGTATTTTATATTTCTAGTATTTTATATTTCGTAAAGGTATTAAAAATAATCCTCCTATCTTCTACAACTTAGGATTAGGATAGAAGAAATCCTGGAATTATTATTTTTTCACACTGAAAGCTTGTATTAAAAATTAAAATAAACAATTAATATTTTTCGTGATTATAAATATAATTTATTAGTAAATAATAGGAACAATCATATTAAACATATTTTTCTTTAAAATAATCTGGTAAATTAATTAACCTCATAAACTCATCTTAGCAGTTTTCATTGTATTTTGTTCTAAGTGAATACAAACTAAATCTTCTCCAGATCTAAAATACCAAGATGTGGTGAAATTGTAATTCTTAATCTTACGAGATCTCGAATTAACGATTTTGACTTGAGATTCACGCCTGTCATAAAGTGGGATGGGAAGGTCTGGGATTTCCTTGTTTTTCCTGGTTCACCAACTTCTCTCTAAAAATTATAAATGAAATAATAAAAACTCCCTTAAAATGTCTTAATGAGAAAATTATTGCATTTTAAAATTGAATGAATACAATTATAAAGAATGTATGACAAGGTTCTATGTGAAACAGCATTTTTAACGCGCAATTTTTAAACTTGTAATTATCGTAAAAACGTAATTTGTATAATTAAACACTTTAATCGCTTAGACATGACTTGATTATCGAGCTTAGTGTCGCAATCTTAATATGAAATTGCTAAATGAAACAATAAATCAATACATGTAAACTATTGCTTCAGTAATTGTAATACGGCATTTATAAAAACCCGAAACTCGTTCAACTCGATTTGCTAAACGCCTCTAAAAACGTTCCAGTAAACACGATAAGTGTTACCGACAGTCTAATTAATTATTCATTTTGTTTAATATACTGTATTGTAACTGTTCAGGAATATCCTGTAGTTTGAGAGGTCTAAAGATTTTTAAAAAAATATTATTAATTGTATTCGTTTTTACAAAAAACTCCCTAGCTAATTTAGATATTGTCACTGAATAAATTCAAAACTCTCGTTAAGCGTAAATTAATGTGAGACTAGTGTATTCAGCGTGCGACTCTCATCCCTGAGGTCGTTGGTTCGAGCCCCTGGTGTGCACAAAAGCCACTGATTTATTTTTTATCCATGCTGAACTAACGCATTGAATGAATAAAGCTTAATAGACATGCTATATTCCCTAAACAGAATTTTCGTTATGTATATTTAAAACATTCTAACCGCTGTTAGAGTCCTATCCTAGTAGATATTTCTATAGGCTGTCAAATGCCACATTTAAGAATATGAAATCTATGGCCCATATTTCCAGCCACGAACCGTCCACAGTATTGTCAAAAATTTAAAACTTTATAGAGACATAATGGGTTGGCTGACGCATCTAAGTACAATGGGTAGTTTTATCTGTGGAAAAGAACATGCCATATGCACACTATAGAACAATCGAGTCGTATTTTAATAGGGAAAGGGCTTTTTATATTGGACTACTAGTTTTTTTTTTCAAACTACTACTTTTGGAAAAAAATATTATTCTATTAAAGATTTTATTAATTTGATAATGTAATAATATATTGTTATAATGTGATGAAATAATATAAGAATTAACGGTAATGATATCTATGATTTATAATGTAATGCAAATTTGCACGCCATTATGTGGATGAATATATAAGTTTATATTGTATATTTTTGCCATATACTTGCCATACCATATATTTCGAATAATAATTCCAAGACTTCTATGAAATGCCAATGCGTCGTAGCAATCACAAGTTTATAGACGGAACCCGAACGTCGATCTGTCATAACTGTATTTTACTTAATGTATCTAAAAACCTTAATAATTTGCATAACTTGAACGCGATTACAAAAATAACTAGTACGGTGGAAAAAACGATATAAGTTATAATAGTTTGAATAATGTATGCAATGTCAATCATAATTAACTTTTATTTCGTCTATATATATTTGTAGTATGTTACTAATGTTAGGCTTTATATTTATATACAATAGAAATTTATGATTACATATCTTAGATCAAATCTTAATTTTTTTCTCGTTAATTCAATTCTAAAATATTATTCAATACTTACAAATCGAGTCGAAATATAATGTATACCTACTTAAAAAAAATATTCCACATATAGATAAACATTTTCGTTTCGGGTTAGCGATTAATTTTGTAATATAATATACTTCTATCGTTGGCTAAGCTTACAAGAAGCTTTTAAAACAAAGCTTATCAAAAGCACTTAAGTAAGTTAAAGTGCGCTCTAGATTTGAGCTATTCAGAGATAAAAAGTCTTTATTAAAAAAAAGTTTCTATGTCAACTTAACGGTAAGGGTAAACAAATGTTCCACGGGCAGGCAATGTGTGTATTGAACATAATCTTATGATTGTGTAAAGACAATAATAAACATAATTTTTTGTTAGTAAAGTGTACGTAAGGATTAATTACGTTGCTAATATTAATTATAATAAAAACACTTGAACGTAGATAATGAACGCGCGCTCTATTAATTTTAAACAAGTGTTTTCACGGTTTTTTTGTCATTTAATTCAATGTAATCATGTGTGTTATGGATTTGTATTTCGAAATATGAAAAACTTAATTAATTGTTTAGTATTAATTAGCATTATTATAAAGGAAAATTATTTTTGTGTTTCTTATGAACTCGAAAAGTACCTACCTATTTAAGATATTATGACTGACTAAACCATTTCTATTAAAACAATGTATGGTCAGTTCATCTTATAAGTCCAAAAGTCGTTGGACACGTACAAACTGTATTTAAATTCATACATATGGACTAAAGCTTCAAAACATTCGTTTAATCATTAATTAATATTTATTTTTAATTAGTAAGATATTTTTAAATTAAAATGTCTAACACGGGTATGTTGTTATTGCGAAATTTTGGATTTTTTTTAAATTTATTCTCAACCGTAACGGGTCTTAAGGCGGTCCACCGGAGCACTCGATGTGTGAGATTTAGCGCGAAACTTCGAAAATCAAAATCGAATACATTTTTGACATACAGGGTATATAGATCGTTCTAAGCGCCAAGTTTCTGAGTCTCACACTACCTGCGTAGGGATAACTACTCGTAGTCTGTATGGGAATAGATCATGAACATGCGCAGGTGGAGAAATCTAAAATCACGGTTACTTACAGGCAGATCTACATACCTTCCGGTAGACCATAGACTTACATATAGGTTTAATACAATACAATAATATTTTTTCTACTATACGTTCTAAGTAAGGGTATTTCCAATACGACTTAGGGTCCTTCAATAAAAAGAGCGTACCAATTCTTTAAAAGCCGGCAACGCACTCGCGAGGCCTCAGATGAGCCTGCTGCCCGTTTGCCCCATTCCATTAAAAAAAAAAGGGTCGCCAGGTAGGGGCAGCTGCTCCTCCTCCCCTATAGAATCGAATTTAAATAATTAATTTGTCAAGATTTGTTTTATCTCTTAATAGTTACTATGTTGACATGTTTAATTTTTGTTACGCTGAAGTTTTCACTCTTTCCCATCCTATACCCACTTCTCACACCTGATCCCACCTCACTTGACAACCGTCAGGCCTTTGGCTCAATGCAATTCCATTTAAAATGCAATATTTGTTTTGTTTCAGGTGCTAGTTCAGTTTCGGGTTGTTCCTCGGAGTCAGAAAAGTGAATATAGCTATCGAAGCCAAATTAATTTATTGGTAAGGGTTTTCGCAGCTCGATGGCAACGATTGTATGGTATCTCCACTAGTGTACGCGGTTTAGCACTAAACATCATGGCTTTTATTCAGCACTAAACATCATGGCTTTTATTTCGTTAGAGATACGGTGCAGCAGGCTTACCTCGCAACTTCAATAGTATTAACTTTAGCGTCATCAGCTGGATACTGAATGAGATAAACAATCACTTTCGTCGTTAGTTTTGCAGAGTAACCCCATTATCTAATATTACAAATGTTTACCACTTTATTTCGGGCTAGAAATGGAGTGCATTCACATAATGTAGATCGTAAGTGGGTGATTGAAAACACATATGAAGTTACTACGTGATGAAAACTGCATCTAATTTTGCCCAATCGATAGTAAGCTAGACACTATTTTATTACCTATATAAACTCATGTAAATTTAAACAACTTCGGTATGTGTAAAAGATATATTTAAGAACCTTATTTGTCAATAGATGGCGCTTTAGTCAAAGATATCTATTCACCATAAAGGCCATGGTGTTTACTGCCTATAATTATAATATTTTATAAACGCGAAACGAAACCATACGTGCCTCATCCCTTCATAAAATCTTGAAGTTATTATTTTGCCAATGTACATAGACGTTATTTATGATCCGAATTTGTCGACGAAGTCCAAGTAAAACAATGTGTTTTTGTTTGTTATCAGAAATTACGTTTCGGGGTTATCAGCACATGTACTGTATAATGGAATTTTAAATACACACAGGCTAGCTATCTACTTTGTTTATTAACTTTATCTAGTTAAAATTGAAATCAAATTTTTTTCTTATAATAGACGAATATTTTATAATCCCTTTCGATGTATCAAGTAACAATGTCTCGTACTTGAGGCGGCGCTAGAGGGCGCTATACACTTATGTACCTTTTCCACTAGTCCTTGCAAAACACAACCTTTTATTTATCTTATAATTGCATGGTTTGCGGAACTTTTAATCTTACCGAATCACATTTACAGAAACTTTCCAAAAAATTGTATGTCAAGATAAGTGCGAATCATTTTAAATTATATTTTATAATACTTTTTAAGTCTTGTTTCTGTCTACGTACACTTATTTATGAGCGTATACGTCTCCAAATGCATTTTAGTACTTACGAACCTTCCTCTGTCATTGACATGCCCTTTAATTTATTTTTAAATTGTTTTATTAGGTAATAATGTACATTGTATTAGTAATTAAATTAATTTTTATTATCAAAACTTATTTTATTTTTACATAGTTTACTCTAGAATATGTATGACAAATTTGCTTGTAAAACATTACTGTTAGTGTTACAGTCAATAAGATTTATACAATTTGTAATAATTATTTTCTAATTAAAATAGTTTATCAATTCATACAAAATATTACGTTAACTTGAATAACGTTATACGTAAAAAAATATTTACTTGATACAATATTAAAGCTGTTTGAAAGGAGTATTTATTGGGCTTCAAATTTTGTGCTAATTTTCCTAAGACTTTTGTTTAGCTAATATCTCTAAGGTACGACATTCCATGGTACAAACGAACCTGGTTCCGGCTTTGGTATCTGGAACAAACACATGACAGATTAGTATTTTTCTTAATAAAAAAAACTTTGACGTATAACAAATTTTCGTTTAAATTGGCGAAATTTTTCAAAATTTTAACTCTTACGATAATTTTAATCGGCAGTTAACATTAGCTGTTTAATTAAGATCTGTTCTTGTAAGAGACATTCGTTATATTTTTCAAAATAAACAGAGTAAAAGTTATCACAAATTGCATAATGCGTGTGATAAATGCTATCAATTGCTTATCATTTGTCAAATAGTATTTTTAGTTGGTTGCTCTTTCCATATTATATTTTTTGAAACTATTAGGTACCTTTTTGGTGATATGATCTTCGCACGCCATTCGTATCCGAGCGGAGGTGGCTGGTGCCTCCAAATAAAAATCGAGTGGCACTCCAGCATCAGCTCTAGCAGCTCTGATGGCTTGTTTTATCGCAAAGAAAATTGAACTTGCCAAAAAGAGTGGTGGCTCGCCTACCGCCTGAAATAGAATACTGAGATTGAAGGTTGTAAAATATTTAAAAAGGTGCATATAAAGATAAGCAAGAGTCCAGTGTATTAAAACACAGAGTTTATGTTTTACCAGTGAAAGTTAACAAACAAATTTTCAACCCAAGGATGTTTACATCAGTATTGTAAAAGTAAGTAATACCTTTGACGAATAAACGGCTCGTAGGTTTGGAGCTCCTTTTAGTAACGACACGTTAAATTCCTGCGGTATATCTCCAAAGCCAGGAATTTTGTAAGCGCCAGGCCCACGTGAATATAGAGTTCCCGTTGGAGAATATATAAGCTCCTCTATCGTAAATAGACCATAACCTTGCATAAAACCACCTTCGATTTGTCCTATATCAATGGCTGGATTGATACTTTCTCCTAAATCCATGACGATATCTGTCCTTAACACTTGGTGATCACCACTGAGACAGTCAATCTCTACCTCGCTGCAGGCAGCGCCAAAAGTGAAATAATTAAAGGCTTTGCCCTCATTTTTCGCGAAATTATATCCAAGCTCAGGTGTGGCGTAGAACCCTGTAGCGGATAAACTGACTCTATCAAAATAGGCTGCTGACACCCAATTTTCCCACGTTCCTTGTGGATTCTTCTCTTTGTAAGGTTCCAATCTTTTCACGAGGGTCTCACATGCCTGAAGAACCGCCATTCCGTTTAAGTCGGAGCCAGCACTTGCGGCGGTTGCGGAAGTATTAGGAACTTTATCCGTTGATGTGTCACTTATGTATATTTTGGACATGTCTACTCCCAAAGCTCGTGATGCCACTTGAATCATTTTAGTATGAAGCCCTTGCCCCATCTCCGTACCTCCGTGGGATAGAAGCACAGACCCGTCCATGTATATGATCACTAACGCACCGGCTTGATTTAAGAATTTCTCTGTAAACGCAATTCCAAACTTTGTAGGAACAATCGCAATACCACGCTTGCGCCATCTGTTTTGCCTGTAAGAAAGTTTAGTAACGTTATTAAATGATAACAATTCAACACTCATATATCTAAAAAAATAATGGCAAAACACCTACTTATTGAAGTTTTCTATAGCAGTTTTTCTTTCAGCTATGTTGCTTTTTTCCACGCATTCGTCCCAACATCTTTGCAGAGTACAGTAAGTAAGCGTTTGTTGATAATGCGTAATATGATTTTCTTGATAAAGATTTACTCTTCTTATGTCATCTGGGTTTCTTCCAAGTCTGTATGCTATATCAGATATCATACATTCTGCGCCAAACATTCCCTGTGGTCCACCAAATCCTCGGAAGGCGGTGTTGGATGGCAAATTAGTTTTACAAACATATCCATTTACTTCACAGTTGGGTATATAATACGCATTTTCATAGTGAAAAAGAGCTCTATCTAGAACCTGAAATTACATACCTAATTTAGACAAATTTTCTTATGATTAATAACTTATATTTGTAATTTGAGGTCTGTTATTTATGATGTTTGTCTGTGTAGACTTATTGAATTGTAAACATTGGTATGTTATAATATGCATTAAGAATGTTTGTGCACGCCATCCGCACCTATTACACAGGACACATTGACGCAAAATGTATAACTTCTTCTATCCTGTTTTTAGTTGTGTGGCCTTGTTGGCACGGCTATTAATAAATGAATTTGTTATTAAATGATATACTTACAGGGCCAGATAAATCTAGGGAATAGCCTCCATTGTTGTAAATGTCTACTTTAGCTCCCATAATTTTACCTTCCTTTGTAACAGCGACCTTGTATTTAATAAGGAAGGGATGTCTCGTGCCTGTCATTAGCATATCCTCATCACGGTCTAACATACATCGCACCGGTTTTTGTAGTTTATGAGCCGCAAAAGCAACAGGTAGTGCAATTAGCATCCCTCTCGCTTCTTTACCACCGAAGCCACCTCCCATGCGTTTCACTTTTGCTACTATTCGATTCATGGGCACATGAAGTACGTGGCTTGCTAGTTTCTGAAAAAATTAAAATTATTAATATCGAATTAACAATGACGGTAAATGAAAACAAAGCGTAAATACGAATCATTACCGAAATTTCTGTGGGATGCTGGCTGGAGCAAAATATCTCAAGTTCATCGTCTTCTTTCTTTGGAATGGCAAATGCTGCATTTGTTTCTAAGTAAAAATGTTCTTGTCCGCCCATTCGCCCTTCACCTTCAATTACAATGTTATTTGGATCTTCAAATGTCGCCAACACATTACCATTCTTAATCCCTTTGGGATATTGCTTATAAAAACTATTTTCTTTAATGGCATCCTCAATGGTAACAATAATAGGATGAATTTCTTCATATTCAATTTTAACCATTCGCGCTGCGGATTGTGCGGTTTGTTGATCTTGTGCCACAATAACACCAATTGTTTGTCCTTGACTAGTGACTTTCTCACTTATGAATAATTCCTCGTCGTGAAATATCGCTCCAATAGCGTTTTGTTCCGGTGTTAAATCCTTAGCCGAAAAGAAAGCTATTACTCCTGGTTGCTTTAAAGCTTCTTGAGCGTCCACCGATATGAGTTTAGCATGAGCTTTAGTGCTTAGTACAAATGCCAAGTATAATTCATCTTCGATCATCGGCATATCGTCACAATAAATAGCTTCTCCAGTAGTTTGTTTAAACGCTGATGTATGTTGTATCGGTCTTCCAACTGCATCGCTCTTCAATTGTTTATCGCCAACTAATTCAAAATATTGAGCACTTCTGGGTAATGACCCATGAAATTGCTCCGCACCACTACTATGGTATGGGACAATAAGATCTTCATGAACGTAATCGCTAGACATTTCTTTACTGATAGCAAGATAGGCTTTTAGGAACAGACTTAATGTTAATGCTCGCCTAAACATGACGTTGCCGCCTGGAACCGATGGATTTAACGGCAATTCTTCTAACATTTCCTTGTAAGCCTTATCTAGCATCTCTTCATTCCATTTTAGGCCTTCAAGGGCCTGGCCCGTTTTTGTTGCAAGTTTTGTAACTGGAGCCATTCCACCAAATCCTATGTTTATGCTTCGAATTTTGTCGGTAAAGTCTTCAAATATTACATTTACGGCAGCGGTTACAATAGAGATATCATCCTCACGACGCTTTGCTTGCTTATAAGCTTTTACATATTGAAAGCGAGATGAGAAAGGAATTTCGATTGATAGCAATATCTCGTCGGGCTTGACTACGTTTCGTCTATAACTTGTGAAGAAATTCTCATCCATCAAAACTGACCGCTGTCCTCCTTTTGAACTTAATAAATTAAGCTTGACTTTCAATGCCATCAATATAGGATTTAAGTCCGATATAGGGCTACCAGTCATTATATTTCCTCCTATCGAAGCAACATTTCGTATTTGTTTCCCAGCAAACCAATTTAACATATCAATGATCGTGATAAATGTCCTTGTTTTATAACTTGGCAAAACTTCGATATATTTCCTAAGAGATTGCTCCAAGTCCATTAGAGTGACGGACGCTCCAACTACTACGCCATTATCAAACTCTTTAACGGAATTTAATTCAGGAATTGATGTTGGCATTATAATTACAGGATACACGCAATGTTTAAACTTAACCTCTACACCGACTTCAGTATTACCTACAACTATTTTTGCATCAGGATATTTTTCCTTTAACGTTAACACTGTATCAACCGTTGTTGGTCGATACCAAGTTGTTTTACTACCTCGGAAAATCAAGTATTGTTCATCATATTGGGAAGATAGTTTTAATTCTGGTGGAAAAATAGGCTCTTGACTTTGATCATATGGTAGAAATGAGGATCTATCAAAAATATGTTCTGTTTCGCTATCATCAGTCTTATTTTTACAGCAATCTTTTCCTAAAGCGCAGACGCCGTTTGTTTTGCCGTTACTGGATCCATTGCTAATTCTTTTTGTTTCCCAATCTTCTAAGAAGGTTTTATAACCCTCAATAATAGCGCGATAACCCGTACATCGACACAAGTTGCCTTGAAAAGCGACTTCCATATCGGAGTATGATATTTTGGTATGCGTTCGAAGTAGCGTGTACATTGACATGACGATTCCTGGTGTACAAAATCCACATTGTGAACCGTGGGCTTTTGCAATTCTCTCTTGAACTGGATGAAGTTTTGTTCTCGTTGAGCCAATACCTTCAACTGTTGTGACTGCCAAACCATGCATCGCGCAGACAGGGGCTAAACACGCGTTGATTGCTAAATGACTGAATTATGAATTAAGCAAATATAATATGGCCCAATGTAAAACAAAAGAACGTTAGAAGTGACAAAAGAAGTTATCAGATGAAAACGTTTATGCCTGACAAGATTCGTAGCAAATTTATGTATTGTAATAAATAGGGACCATGTAAGTATTTACTAAGATTACGCACGTAGATGATTAAATACTACGAATTCTATTCTAAAAGCATTTTCTAAACTAGTTATTCTTAGCTCAAATAAAAGAAGAAAATAGCGAATAGAAAAATGGAATAAAGAAGGTATCTAAGACTGTTTAAGGTTTTATACAGTCAAAACCGTTTACGACGACATCGTTTAGAACAACATACCGGTTATATTGACCAAAATCAAAAATCCCGGCTGAATTCTATTGTATAAGGTTCTTAATAACAACATCATCGGCTGTTACGGCTATCGATTTTTACGACCAAATATGAGTAGTCCCTTCGATGTGGTTATAACAGATTTTGACTGTAGTTCAATTTTGTCCAAACTAAGCTTTTCGCCATTCGCGATAAAATATTACCTACAAAAATATAACTTTAATAACAGTTTGTTTTCTAAGAATAATTAAAAGCCAATGAATCTTGATTATTGGTATCAATTAAACATGTCCAACTAAAAACTTTTCAGTTTTAAATGAAAAAGGATACACAACTTTCTTTTCCTTCCATTGATACTTGGAGATCATGACAGTGCAAGCTCCGCACCCACCTTCTGCGCAGCCTAATTTTGTACCAGTCAGGCGTAACTTTTTTCTTAAATACCATAGAAGCGTCCATTCTGGATCTGGATTCGGTTCAACTACCTGTTGAATTAGAATAATTATTGCTTATAAATTCTATATATAGCAACATTGTACTTTATGAACATTATCAAATTCAGGGAATTTTAATAATAATAATTAAAAATTGTTAAACAGAAAACTAAAGTAAATTTTAAAAGTTTGATCCTTGTGGGAGACCTTTAATGCTGGCAGCATTTCCTCGCTGTATTGCGATACTTATTCGTTAGCGAGGAAAGCACCAGCTCTGGGGCACCGGTACGATCTATCAGATAGTATCTATTTATCAATAGTAAATGCATTTTATCCATGTACTTAAGTACGAATAATATTTAATAAAAAATAATTAAGATGATTACATCTTACTTATTTGTCTTGCTTTGACAGACATAGTAGAAAGCTATTCTTAAATCTTAATTTAATAACGTATTAATCAGGCTGCATTGACTCGGCAATGAGGCATACGTTTACGCGTTTGTTGATAATCTTATGTTTTAAAACTAACCGTCTATTAATCCAGACATCCAGTATGAGATTTGACATATAAGAGTCATACTTAGCGGTAAATCTCGACTCCAAGGGTGAGATTCAAAAACGGGACTTACCGCGAACTATGTCTCCCGTATGAAAGTCTCGTTTCTGAATATCACCATAAATCTTGCCCTAATAATAGCTCATTTTAAAATTGCAAACAAAATCTAATGTGGCGTATTATTTTAAATTTGGATACAATTTTGGGGCATACGGGCAGGAGGCTCATCTGACGTTACGTGATACCGCCGCCCATGGAGGGTGTCCAATGCCAGAGGGCTCGCAAGTGCGCTGCCGGCCTTTTAGGAATTGGTACGCTCTTTTCTTGAAGGACCTTAATGATGTAACATATTTCACCGGACTTTTCCATTGCATTATTATGCCGTACGCTAATGATAACATAATAAGGTTATCATATTTGATATTTTCCAATCCATTAACGACAACTGAGTGAACGCGTTTCGTAAAAGTTCACCCACTTAATTTGCAATTAATTGAAATTTACTATTTCAAAGCAAAAGCGATTATAGGATATAATTAATTAGTTAGCGGCAAACATGCACGCAAATCAAGTGCTACAAAACGTGATTACTTTAAAAAAAAGTGGATAGACCACATTTTATGAATAAAAACTAATCGCACGTTTATGGGTACGGTAGGTATTAGACAATCATTTATTGTTTTGATGTGGTTTTGTGATCTAGGTAATATTATTATAGTATAAAAATTACTTTGCTATTTTCCACTACTATGTTAAAAATTAATAATACCCCCATTTCTTCTCTAGCCTCTTGTAGAAAAAAAACTAATCGCACATGTATGGCTACGGTAGGAATAAGACAATCATTTAATGCTTTGATGTGGTTTTGCGATCTATTTAATATTATTATAATATAAAAAAAACTTTGCTATTTCCCACTACTAAGTTAAAATAAATAATAATAATACTATATAATATTTCTTGTCTTTTTTTAGCTTTTAACAATCGAATTACATACCCTCTTCGGTTTCATTCAAGTAGTTCAAAAATATATTTTATATAACATAATTGCACAAATCAACACGTATGTCAAATCATGTCAAATCTTAAAGTGAAATCGTGAACGGTTCGCTATTGCTCTATATGAATTTATAATTGTCCCTTGGCCTTACGATAAACCTCATTGCTCCTTCCGCACTTGTCTCAATATAGAATACTGGTTTGGTAAGTTGTCGCGTTAATACCGCAAGGGTTGCCGCTGTATTTCAAAATAGAAGATTAACCTTTTCACGAAACAAATATCTATACCAAATGTAGAAAGCAAGGCTGCCCTTTTTTGTATTGTTGGGACATCAATTTACAGACACCCGCGCCGGGGCAACTTGTTAAAGTGACGCGCGGAGGTTCAGGGTCTGTGAGGTGCAATGGATACCGCTCTAAAACCCAACAGCCCCTCGCTATGGAGGTACCAGTTTAAGCTGGTACCGTGCCTCCATAGCAATAGGTAAAGGCTGGCCTAACTAGCGCTAAATCCCTTCGATGTTTTTGGCACATTTAATTTTCTATGCTATTAAATAAGCTGGTCGGCGAAAGAGAAGAGCAAAGAATTGTGAGAGAACGAACATAACCTTTTACAAAGAAGAACGCGACATAAAGGGAGTCATAACAACCCTTCGGGTATAGACACACTTCTATAATACAAGTTTAAAACTGTTGTTTTTAAATTATTACTAATGGAACGATTTACAAAAACTAAAATGTACGAGCGGCTTATCATACAAGGCAAAGTGGCATGTAGAAGGAGACCTGGACGCAGACGCACGTCTTGGTTGAAAAACCTAAGACAATGGTTGGTCAAAGCACCAAGTTTAGAAGCGCGGCATCTAAAATTAAACTAGCCATGATGATCGCCTATTCGCCAATTTTCGCAAGGAACTGGCACTAGAAGAAAGAGATCACATTTTTAAATATAAATAAACGCCACAGAAATAATTCGCAACCCTACTATGAGATGGAACTCAATAAGGACGTAACCTTACACGCAATTTCTCTGCATATTATACAGCAATTGTCAATAATAATAAATACATTTCGGACATAAAAATCGATAGAACTGGTACCAATGTACTAGCGAGCCTCATCCAGTGCCAGAAGTAAGATTGCAGCCCAAAGTATCCTCAGAATAATATATTTATAACATGCTTTTTATAACTAGAATACAATATGATAAATTCAGATTTGATCTAATTAAATTTTATATGAACTTTTATACAGAACTGGATAGACGTAGCCACAGTCCCAGCCGATGTTAACTGAGATGCGGCCTAAGAAGGCACGCCTGTCCAGAGTTTGCATTTTTAACCGCAGCACCGCCCCGTTTTAACAGAAGACAAAACACAGTTTGACAGAAGTAGACAAAAGAGTTCTTTAAATGAAAGAGTGCTGGGAAAACTACTGAACCAATGTTAAGAATTACTTATATCTATCTAATCTCTGTCAACAACATAAAGCTGTATTTACAGCGTGTAAGAGACAGAAAATTAACCTATCAACCGGTCAACAATGACCTTGGCTATTGTCGAATTACTTAAACAAAGAAATAAAGTTACCCATAATAAGACAAAAAAATTGCTTATGATACATTTATATAAACTTTGAAATATATATATTTATAGAATATGTAACTCATGCTTGTAATTCATCCATTACCTCGAAATATGTAATCGATTACCGATTTTTCCACAGCATTTTTTGTGTTTTAATAACATTAAACGGTGCGTAAAGCAGAGCTGTTATTAAAGCCTCACACCGCTAATTTAATCACCGATTAATAACAAAACTTTTACTAAATAAGGTATGTATATAGGTAGGGTAATATATATATTTCATTTTTGACTATTAGTTTGAGCAGGTAATTCTACTGTTTGTTGCTGGCACGTTTGAGTGGAAAATATTCTGATGCTAACTATTATGCCGACAATTATAAATGCTTTAATTATAAATTTAAAATGTTTAACATAATACATACATGCTTTAGCAAAACTAAATTTTTCTTTGTTCAGAAAAACATTAGGACATTAGGCATCATTTATTTTATCTCACCTCAATAAAACTCTCATGAACTGATTTAATAATACAGTTCTTATCTAAAAATAATTTATTTATTATCCAAAGTAGTCTTCGTGTGTGTCAATATGTTTATCGTGTTCTCTTGACATTTTATTTTCGAATACGAAAATTTATAACATTACGTCTTAATGCTCGGTAATAATTGTTACCATGGTTTCTTATTTAGGTTCGCGATAACGATCGGCTGTTTTTTACCTATCTAATATCCAAACGTTTTTACAAAATATCTACCAATTACTATCAATTGCGTTTACAAAATTAATTGAAGTAATCATACTTTGTAGATAAAACTGTAATAAACAAACCATTAGGTTGACTATAAGGTCAAACTATCAGGGCTATAAGTCCACATTACTAACATTGTAGCAAATCTTATAGGACATACTAATTCATAATATCCCTTCTATTAAAAGTGTTACAAAAATCCCTTTAATACATTACGACACTGTGTTTGTACCTACTTGTAATTTTTGAACAAAAGTCGTTGCAGGGACGGGAAATGGGAAATAAGGCGATACTTTTTATTCTAGAAATATTATGAATTGTTCCTAAATACACTAGACAATTTACGTCGTAAAATGTAGTCAAATAGAGCGTCGAGTGTCTACCAATTGGTATTTGTGAAACAGGGAGTCGAAATCTTGTTTGACTTGTTACGTCCCACGTTATTATTTCGCTGTGTCCAAACCTACTATTTAACTGATTTTAAGTATTCCAAGTTATAATAATAATAACTTTACGCAATGCATATTAGTAAAAAATGAAATTAAAACGTATAAATAATTGTTAACATATAAAAAATACTTTAAAAGAAAACATTAGACAAAAGTACAGGTTTGCATATTTTTTTATTTTTTTTAATTAATGACAAAACGTATTTATATCGTAAGTGGACGGATTAGTTGAGGTTAAGAGCCTAGATATCAGAATTCTATACTTACCATCAAAATGCTAATTATATTCTACTGTCGAAACACATCAGAAACTTGTTGAGATAACATTTAAAACTGATTGCGCAATTTATATATTTAATAATAAATATTTAAATTAAAACCAACCTTTTTTCCATTCACATAAAAAACTAATTCCGTAGAAACTTCACCGGTATCTTCGTCTACATTTAATTGACCCATGTCTGAAGACGTACTACCTCACACGCGAGTCACAACAACACTGACTTTAAATTTCAATTCGGAGTCGACTGTCGACATCCCATCGCGCAATAATAATCAGACTTTCAATGATATATAACTCGTAAACAGTATCATCAGTTATCTTATAGGTGACTGTTATCATATTTTCTTAAATGTCGTCAGATAACTTATGGAAATCTAGAACAATAAAATTAAAATAAATCTTCTTTTTTTTAAAACAGGGTCTAAGCGGGCAGTAGGTTCATCTGATGTTAAGTGATACCGCCGCCCATGGACACTCTCAATGCCAGAGGGCTCGCGTATGCGCTCTTTTTTTGGAGGACCCTAAGTCAAATTGGTTCGGAAATACTTCAGTGGGCAGCTCATAGGGGTGGTGCGCGGCAAAAAAAAGCCTAGAAAAACGCTCAGTCGTGAAACGGCGGACGTCGAGGTGATACGGGTAAGATCAGTGGCGCTAAAACCATTTTTAGGTCTGGGCCTCAGATTTCTGTGTCTGTTTCATGAGCATTTGTTAATCTAAAAGGCAAGTAGGTCATCAGCCTCCTGTGCCTGACGCACGGCAAGTTTTTGGGTCTAAGGAAAGCCGGTTTCCTCACAATATTTTGCTTCACCGTTCGAGCGAATGTTAAATGCACACATAGACAGACAGTCTCAGCACAGGCGAGGATCGAACCTACGACCTCAGGGATGAGATTCGCACGCTGATGCCACTAAGCCAACATTGCTCAATCACGGAAAAAAAAATTGGAGATGTTTTAAGCTGGAGCCGGGATTCGATAGATTTACCTACCTGATTTTGTTGCGTTTAGCACAAGGTAACCACATAATCCAGTATTCAACAAATACGTGTGATAAAGTTTAGTTTGTAACAAAATATTAAATAACCATAAATTTATGAAATAACAAGTGTTACACGATCTTCCAAATCATATTTGTTACTTATTTTATACATCAATATACTGGATAATGTAACTTGAAAATTGTTATCGGTTAGTCGCTCTGATTCCTACAAACCGGTCGTAATGCAAGTACCACAAGAATTAAACACATATAAAAATAATTATAATAAGCTATTGCCTGAATAACACTAGTTAGTGTAACACTAGATACTTGAACTATATAATAATTATATAATATAATATCTATTTCAAAATATACAGCATTAACAATATTCTTAACCTAAAAATTGATTAATAGAAATCTAAAACCAATTTAAAAAGTTTCCTGTACCAGTGTACCTTTAATAGTAGTAATTGTAGTAATTTCCACACTGTATTGCGATACTTATTCGTTATGCTAGGAAAGTATCAGCTCTGCGGTCACCGGTATTATCTACGAACTTTTTTCATCTTTCACGAGCGCCTGTCCGTTTGCAGGATGCAGGAAACAAAATCAAAGTCGGAGGATTCTCCGCGTGCTCTGCGGCCGCGCCAGCTTTTGTGCTAATCCAAGAGATGTGTGACAGGGCTAACGTGTCAACACTAGCATAACTACCATCCATCGAGGGTTCAAAGTTATCCCATCCGGCCGCCTGCCACTGTCACTAGAGATGCCTGTTGGCTCCAAAATTGTAAAAATATTGACGGAGCCAAGAGAGCGGCGTATGTTGTCGTTGAGCGCGGCGTGGCGAGAAAAATGACCAGCACTATGTGGCCATGGTGTCCAAGGCTACTTACTGCAAAGCCACATGGTCACTTATAGGAGTACATATGAGCAGTCCTAAACGAAGGCTGATAGCAATTCGCAGTACATCATGGTCCAAAAGGGTGCTTGGCAATAGATAAGCAATAAGCCAATAACCGGCTTCCCTAGACTCGATTACAACCATTGCGTGGTCTTTAATTGAGGATCTAATAAGTCTTAGAATTCAGATATAATAATGATTATATCATAGTCACATAGGGACTGGATACACAGCTAAAATTTTATATTTATATACTAATATTGTAGAGGAAAGATTTTGTAACAAATCAACTAGAAACTAGCGGACCGATTTCAATTATCAATTAGACCTTTATTTATTTCCAAAATATGACGAAGCCTGGACAGACCGCTAATCATAAAAATTCAAACTAAGTTAAATGTTTTTACATATCTAATGCAAACAAGTTTTTTACAAAGGGTAGAAAAATATCTCCTCACGTTTTGAATTTTATAAAATCAATTAAAATTTAAAACTTGATACTGGATTGAAGCGTTACTAAGGTCAGTGTCCGTTGTCTGTGGTGTCCGTCTCGGATAGGTACGCCTGACAGATAATATGCTATATTCTTATTTTGCGTCATCAAAATAATTCTTATTCTCATTTTTATAATGTGTGTAAATTTAACATTCAACTAGTGTTTAATCGTAACAGTTCCGTATGATGTTCCAAAAAAAACAATCACCATCTTCAAAAACAGTCCGCGCCGCATCTCACGATGTGGATACAAATTTGTAGTTAAATAGGGAACGAATAGAACTCCTTGCGCTATTAAATCTGTCCGGGAAAATAATATAAGCTCTTTCAAGTGGATAAATAGGTTCCTTGACAGGCTTGCTCTAAAATACGCATTTAACTTCACATCATGTAGAATTGTGGTCAAACTTCTATCTAATTCAATAACAAAAACGCAGTTATGTGCGTATTTTTATAAACGTATGAGTAAACAGATCTCTGCAGATATAAAGTGGTTCTGTAATGAACGTGATCGTATTATCTTACAGATGCGTGGCCAACCTTTATATTAAAATAAACCTTGAAACTCTTTGTTTTTCCTGAATAATGAATAATAAAAATTCAATAAAATACAATCTTGCTAAATTATCATAAATTTATAGCTTCATTTAAAATATTGTTCAATTTGTTATTTCTATTATCCTTCCCATTAGGCGTTAGAGGACAGTTGTATTCATTTATCATTGAAGGATTAGTAATTCAATGTATCTTCAGATATTTCTTAGATTCTCCTAGAGTTCTATGAAATCTACCAAGTTTCTGACCAAATCTTCTCGGTAGGAAGCGACCTGCTTCATCATCGTCATTAACGGAGCACATTCCGACCTCAAACCCGTGAACGCTGAGGTCCCAAGGCTGTGATTGATCCCTTGCGTTGCGTAGAGATGTGGGCATCCGGACTCTGCATCCTCTACCGCATTAACCATGGAGAATGTTCAAAGTTGTTAGGATTAATAACTGCAGCTGAGTTTCATCATCGGACGTCCGTCGATGCACACAACTGAGCGCTTTTTTAAGGCAGTTTTTGCCGCGCAACATCATTATGTCGAAGCAGCTGCCCATTCAAGTATTTCCCAACCAATTCCTTCAAGAAAATAACGTACTAATTCTTAAATGGCCGGCAACGCACTTGCAAGCCCTCTGGCAAAGTGGGTGTCCGTCAGCGGTGGTATCACTTAACATCAGTTGAACCTCCTGCCCGTTTACCTCCTATTATAAAGAAAAAAGTTCCCTGCCATAATAAAAAAAACGATTAAAAAATATGTATTTTGTAAAGGTAGTATAAAAAAAATATGTTGGAAAGACTGGACGCATGAAAAAATTGACTGAAATGCGGCTGTGTGTGTATAGGGCTACATAAACACACAGTGTGTTCCCTGATAAATAAATTTCAATCATATAAAACAGCGATGTTTTTATACATATGTGTGTTATAAATATTGAATTGCGCAATCGAGCATACTACGTAATCAATATTATTATATAAGTCAATGATTGAACTCAATTATTTCAATGAAAAAAATAAAACAAAATTGCGCATATTAATTATACTGAGGAGGAAACGATCAACTATAATAATTGACTTTTAATTGAAATCCTTTTTCTATTATATCTTCTTAAGATTTTTGACATAAATTAGTGGGGTATCTCTGGATCTTCTACTGCTTTTACTATGGAGAGGGTTTAGAGGAGTTGTTCGGATTAATACATGCAGCTGAGTTTCATCATAGGACGTCAAGAGAGAATACGAAATACCATCCGTATCACCTCGACGTCCGTCGTTCAACAACTGAGTGTTTCTTAAGGCAGTTTTTACCGCGCACCACCACTATATGAAACCTTAGGACGGTTGGGTCCTTCAAGAAAAGAACGTTCTTAAAAGTCCGGTAACGCACATGCGAGCCTTCTCGCAATGTCGACATACCTCGTCCTGCATGATATTTCAAGCGATACCTATATTAAACGAAGTATAATAGAACCGACTGTAGCGCCAGCTGCGGGGCTGATTTGTGAATCTAAAACTACCAGGGCGTCACCCAAACGCATACAAAAAAGTCATTGAAATCGGTCCATCCGTTTAAGAGGAGTTCAGTGACATACACACGTTCAGCAGAATTATATATTTATATATAAAGATAGTATATATCTACATATTAGCTCATACAGTTTCTTCTCGTCTCTAAAAGTTTTTTGATGTAGTGTGCAGGTCTAGTTATAAGTATAGTATATTACATGTTTTACCTTTTTTAAATAACTCTGATCAAAGCATTTGTTTTATACGATATTCATTTTTCTTACATCCTCTTTGACAATATTTGTAGCACACGTTCTGTCAATGTTATTACAAACGCCATAAGGTTACATCAAAAAAGGTTGAATTGTTTGGTGGTTAAGTATTCTTACATTTTCTAATTTTCCGCGTAATTTTCTTAATTTTTTATTTCATAAGAACCTTCTCCTGTACACTACAAACAATAACAAACACAACAAAAATAGAATTAACGAAATCGGTTCAGCCGTTCACACATGATGCCGTGACCAAGGGAAATAGGGATTCATTTTTATACGTAATATTATATATATAAAGATATATAGAAGGGAGATTCTGTTTACTTGACCAACTTGAGTAACAACGACAGTCCAACATATTTGCTGTAATAACTAGCTGAGTCGCTTGAATGTAATGAATAGAATTTTGTAATTTAATGCTGATTGCTCTTTAGCGGAACATGCATTCAATATATCAGTAATTTGATCTAAT